AGTTTGAGCTGATTTTGATGGAAATTTGATTTTTTACAACTTTGTAAAGTTACTCAAATATCATGCTAAAGTCTTTAGCCAAATTTCATCAAAATTGAAAAGTATAAAATTCTCCATTTTTATGATACTTTCTGATACATATACATGTTCTTATGTTGCAAAGAAAGTTTCAGCTGATTCCAATAAATATTGGATTTTTTATGAATTTCTAAAGTCCCCGCCCCTCTCATTACTTCTCAGTATATTCAGCTGCTGCCTGCCACACGGTCTTCCCCCAGCGAAGTGATCCACCTGCTGCTGGATCCTGTGACTGCTGTCTCCTCCTCTGGAGTCTCTCCTTAGCAGTACCGACCCCAGAGAGTATAGCATTAGCCAGCTGGTCTTTCATGTTGTTTGAGTTCTTGCTGGTCGCTACTGAAGCTCCTGACAGCTGGTTCATGAGGTTACGTTTTCCTTTGTACTCGAAACAAGCAACACACAAATCAAGAACATTGAGGAAGAGATTGAGCCTGGGAAGAGAGAGAGAAAAATAATAATATTATTATTATTTTATTCTCTTCAAAATTTCAATATCAATTTTATTCTTTAATGTACAATGTATGTTCCTTATTTTAGTTTTTATAATAATAATAATAATAATAATAATAATAATAATAACAAACTTCACATCATTTTTATATTATTTTATTTTACCTTGATATAGAGAGGGTACTCCACCAGTGTTTAATAAGCATAGGGTCAATGTTCTTCAGTACCCACAGGAAACATATTAAAAGGTTTCTGGTACTAGCAGGTCCCAGTATCTGATCATACCTACTCTCCTCGTCCTATTAATTAGTTTAATTATTCATTGATTGGTGGGTGTGGCTTACATCAATCTCCAGTGACCCATCGCTTCCTTCCTTAATGACGACCGAGCGACGCACCTCGGTATTCCGGTCAAACGTGTTTGTCAGGTTCTCCCAACCATCAGCACCCTAAAAACATGTACATGTACATTAATTAGCACACCTACTTTGACCACGCCTATTAGACCACACCCACCTTATAGAGTCTGTGATAGTTGTCCATTACGATTGATAGCAGTGGTAGATATATTGAAGATATTCTTGACCTGAAGTTGGTGTATCTGATATCTGAATCGTGACTGGCCAGGAGGTCACGAAGGACTTCAACCGATTGTTCTCTTAATTTGGAGTTTCTAATTAATACACAATAAAGAAAAATAGATCAATTGAAAGTTATAATTTTAAAATTTGAGCTCGGAATTGACTCAAACTTTCTACACAGCATTAGGACATCAATATGTATCAGAAAATGTAATAAAAATTGGGTGTCATTTTTTAGCAATTTTTTGGAAAAAACCATGGGCTATAGTACAGGGATTTTTTCAGATTTTTGGCATTTTCTTAAAATGGCCATAACTTGAAAAATTGAAGTCGGAATCAGCTCAAACTTGCTACACAGCATAAGGAAATCAATATGCATCAGAAAAACTGAGTCCTCTTACGTTGTACGACAATGTTCCGTGAGTGTCTCATGGAAGCTGATCTCTTGTTCATAGGATCATCATCGAGAGAGAAAGACCCACTCCTCTGGGCTGTGACGTGAGCTGGATCAAAGAGACCAAGATTAGATGGAGGGAGGGGACTAACGAATACGTATTGGATGAAAGAGGCTAGTACAATGTCACGATTATGTTTATCTCGTTGAAGTTTTAAGGAATGGACGTTTGATATTATACTGGCTAGCGAAGAGAAGGAAGCCCTTTGGACTTCAGCTGCAGGAGAGAGAGAGAAAAAGATCATAAATAAAATAAAATAAATAAATAAATAAATGCATGTACACATGTAAATAAATAAATAAATATCTTCATTACTAAATAAAATATCAATATCTTCAATACCTGATTCTGTAGTAACAGTGGGTCTCACTAGCAGCTGGCATAAATTATTCAAGAGGAGGTGGAGGAATTGTACGGTCGGTTCAATGGCACTCTCCTCTATCTGTCTGATGCTGTTTGCCAGTCCTTTCTCTTCAGACTCTATCCCTAATTGATGCCCGAACGTGTAGAACTTTCTGAGAAGTCGTGAAGATTAGCGTCTTGAGGATAAATGGAGGAGATCATCTTAAGATGGACCTTGAACACCGGCTTGTGGTTATCGATCCATTTCAAATTAGGCAGGTGGACCTGTGGGCATTATATAGAATAACATTACACGACACCATATTAATATTCATTTATTTATTTATTTACATCGGAGGATAGTTGACTGTAAGCAGCTGGTGGATGGTCTGTAGTGACTGCCAGATTAAATTCGCCTAACTTGAGCTCCTTTCTCTCAGCTCCTTGTAACAATGGAATCCACTGGAGAGAGAGAGAGAGTGAGGAGAGAGAGAGAGAGACAATGAAAATATACATGTACATGTATTTAACATCTTACAGTACATCCCAGGAAGAAGGGTTCTTGTCTTAAAGGCACGTCCGGTTTTGGTTTCT